AAAAAGAGGCACTTACTATGATTGTCAAAGGTGAACCATACATGATGATGGAGAAGAAAGTGGCAGCCACACCACACAAAAGCTTCCTGTTATTGCCATGGAGTGCAAAGATAGAGACCAAAGCAATAGTTGCGAAAATAGCAAGTACAATCGATAGCAGCCCAAAGATTTTGTACTTCTCCTTTTTCGGTGCATACAAGATGAAGATCATCACATAGACAATTTCAATGGCTGCCCCAGTTCCATTAATCGTTGAGACGAGCAGATTGTTAGGCGACACAAACGGCAAACCATACCTATTTAAGAGGAAGAAAAAGAAAAAAAAAAACCCAAAATTCATTAACTGTATGGAAAATATTTTGGATACTTCACTTTAGGCATTTTCTCCTTACGCATAATAACTGAAAAATTCATGAAAAATAGTTTCCAAATGCTGTGAAAATGCATTTTCTCCCTAGGCATAATAACTGAAGTAAGATCATACACTGTGTTCAAAAAGAACAACATGCTGTTACATAAGGTAATTCATAGAGTTTAGTATCTCTCTGGAATCAAATTTAATCTATCAGTCTTCAACCACAAAACCCAGCAATAATGGGCTTAATCATTTCGAATAAAAAAAAATGAAGAAAATTTACCAGGCTGAAAGCAAGCAGTTGAGCAGGGTCATGGCATATGGGATTCCAGAGAACTGCTCAGTCGACCTATTCTTCATGATTCTTTTGAAGGTGATCCTGTATATCAAGCAGAAAAACAACAAAATGAAAATGAAAAAATAAAATTAAAAATCACATGAGCACTGAACAATGAACATGGTTAAAAGGCTGTGGTAAAATCACAAGATCCATAGATAAAAATGGCATTTGATAAGGTTTTGTTCCCAATTGTGGGCCAAGAAATGTCCTCTTGGTTACTTCAAAAGCCATTATTCACATCTTTTTCAAGAAAATTTGCAACGTACGTGACTAAAGAGCAAGAACATGAACACTCAAAATAACACCCCAAAACAGTTGCTACTTCCAGCATATTTCACTCATTTTGGATGATAAGAAACTACAACAAAACCACGAAACAGCATCTATCTTCAACAGCACAATCAAAAGTAAAAAAGTAGAACACGATGCAAAACAAGGCATACACTCAAAAACAACACGCTGCAAATTTCACTCATTTTGGATGACAAAAACTAGAACGAAACCATGAAAACAGCAGTTATCTCTTTCATCTGGACAAGCAAAAGAAAGAAACTCACAGTGGCGCCAAGAACAGAAACAGAGCAAAAGCATTTCCTGCAAGGTCACAAAAAGAAACAAGGACAGCAAACTGAAATCAAAACGAAGGAGAAAAAAAAAGGTGTATTATAGTAAAAATACAAAGAAAACCAAAAACCCACCAAAAATTCCGATCACAAAGTGCAGAACGTTCTTCATTTTCTTCAATTTCTTCTCAAGAACACAAACCCAGAGCGTTAAACGGAAAACCCAGAAACAAGAAACGCGTAAAAACGTGATCTTTTTTTTTTTCAGTTTCTCTTTTTAACTCCCTTTTTCCCACCTTACTGGGTTTTTTCCTTTCCCAAGAACGCTTTTAGTGTGAGCTATACACACTACTCACACCTATATATACGAATAAACATACAAGAAAATGGGCAAGCAAAAAAGGCTGTTGATAGACATTGGGTTGTACGAGTAGGAAAAAGAAGATGATTAAAAGTTGACAGCTTGACAGTAAATTTAAATTACTTCGAATATTTTTGTACTGTTTTTATAATGGTGCTGCAAATTCTGCAGCTCTGCTTACGTCATTTTCTGTTACAAAATATCACAGAGCCTCAAATTTTGCATTCACGGGTTGAAAACAATGTATGCAGTATGCACCACTTAGTGTGTGTGTTGTGTGTTTTGGTTAACCGACTAAAATATTGTTACAAAAAATTGTTGGATACTTGGATTATTGTTAGGAGTTTCTTTTAGAGTTGGTTTGAATTTCAGAATATTAATAAGTCGAATTTGACATTTAAAAAATTTTATTGACACATAAATTACTTAATACTTAGGGATTGATAGTTTATGAAATAATTTGTTCAAAATGAGTTATTTTGGTTAATCATAGTTAATTTTAAAAAATGTGGTATGATTAGTTGTTAGTGGAATTTTAAGAATTTATTAAAAGAATATTTAAAATAAAATAATTAAAATTGATTTGATGTAAAAGTATGAGATAAATGGTTGAAAATGATAGATAGTTAAAATTATCTATTTATTAAAAATGTACTAATGATTACATTTCTTGATAAGTTTTTGAAAATATTTATAATGCTTTACTATTCAGTTTTTTATTATAAATCGATTTAGTGATTTATAAAATTCAGTATTTAGTTAAATTTTTACATTTTTGAATGTTGATTTTTTTTTTTTTTGTGTAATCACATATTTCTAAATTTATTTATTTTCTTCTTAAACAAATATTTATTTGATAAGCTCTCATCAACAAAAATGCTATGTAATATGATGAAAAAGTTGAATTTAAACCAATTTTCAACAAAAAAAACTTACTTTTTCATAAAGGTACACAAATCGATATTTATATTTATAGTAAATACATCATTTTTATATGAAATGATTCGTCACTGGACTTAATAGCATAACATATAATTTCGTGTTTTGGCATTTACAAGAAGTACCTTTAAAGTGCAACTTATTATGTCCCTTTCTAGCTAGTACTATTTACATTCTTGAATTTTGAATTTTTTTTTTTCTTTTTAAATTGGACGACAATAAAAAAGTAAATTAGCAACGTATATACAAATGATTAGATTCATGCATGGAATAATTAGTAATTACATCATTATAATGAATCTAAAAACTTACCTATATGGCTGCAAAAGGTGGAAAGTACAAAGCATAATCATTATATACAGAATATCATGAGACAAAGATTCTCAACCTAATATTACATGAGAGTGTGTAAAGGGCTAATCTACACGATATATGCTACAACATCATCATAGGCTGCATAATGCATGACGTACTGGCAGTAAAAGAGAATGGCTATAAAAATTAAAAAAGACTCGATTTTATTTAATCTAAATTCATTTAAATAATAGTGCCCCATTAATTAACTAGTATCAACTTTTAATTTGTCCTTCCTTTTGGTGTTGGGATGCATACAAGAACTTTTGATACTCAAACTCGATCAATTCATTAACTAAATAAATTTGAGTTGTTTCTTTACTAAATGACTTGGGTTTGAGTCTTAATGAGTTGATTGTTGAGCTAAGAGTAGAGTTGTTAAATTAAATGAGCTGCTCGTAAGATCGACTCGGCTCGGCTCGTTAAGGCTCGAGCTCGGCTCGGCTAGTTTGATAAATGAGTCAAACTCGAGCTCATTTATAGCTCGTTTGGTAACGAGTCGACTAGAAAAAATGTTTATATGCAATTTTTTCTATAGATTGGCTCGTTAGAGTTCGACAGCTCGAGCTCGACTCGTTAATATAGATAAACGAGCTGATCACGAGCTCGATTATGAGCTTGTTATGTTAACGAGCCGAGCCTCGACTCGTTAAGGGTTCGAACTCGAGCAATATGAGCTCGAACTTGGCTTGACTACTCGTTTACACCCCTAGCCAAGAGTTCGAAAAATTAAGTAAAACCCCATATTCTCAAGCCGAATTCTAGTTTCAACGAGTCAAATCAATAAGTGGCTCATTCAGATCATGACATTCGGTGGATGTGGCACTTATCGGAAACCAGAGACGAAATTCACAAAAACAAAATGAAAAAAAAAAAATGATGTTGACAACATTGAATGATGTTCGTGTAACCAACCCAAAATTGAATGTATTGAATGTTACGCTTAGAAGTTAGAACTGCCCTCGGGACAAGGGCTCTTTGTTCACTTGGTCTCAACTCGTAAGCTGATTATACCCAAAGAAATTGAAAAGAAAATGGAGAAAAATGGATAGGTTATGAATGTAGAGTGCTATATAGTACTATGTGTTTGTCACTCAGCCACAAATGTTCTAATTTTTCTAATTAATATACATTTCTCTATCTACACTCTTATGCAAGGTCTCAAAATTGAGCATCCCACCACAAAAGTTGTTCTTGCAATAAATGAACCTTGAGTTGGCCATGGCGGCTCCCATTTTCTTCGAAAAATTCTAACCATGAAATCAAATTTTATACGTACCAATCACATCATGTTAGTAAAAAAAGCAGATTTGTATGATTGGCTCTTTTGGATTGAAAAATTCCAGAGAGTTATGCTTTGGTTGGATTGTAGAATGTTAGCTAATGGACCCTTTATTGAAAGGAAAAAAAATTTAAAGTTCTAAAATATACCCATGACTTGGGATAAATAGCAATTTTATATAGTAATTTTTTCGATTCCAAATAATATTGACTAACTAATAAAAATTGAGCACCACATGCTAAAACTGCAAAAATTAGGCGAAAACTATTCGCGATCTAATTGCATTAAGTTGCAAGAAATGCTCACTACGCACGTGTTTGGGCATATTAATGTTCACAATTTGATTGGTTAATGGATATACTGCACAATCGCGAAAGTTATTGGACAAATTCACAAACTTATTAGCCCAAAATACTGGATTTAATTTACATAAACAAAAAATAAAAAATAGTGCACCAAGTCATTCGATCGAGAAAAGAAGAAATTTACTCTGATACAATTAATTTGGAGGAATTTATTTATTTTTTATTAAACATATATGTACCATTTTGTTGTTATCATTTTATATTATATAAGTAATTGTTGAGGACATATATGAGACAAAGCTATCTTTACATTGATTATAAGAAATTGTTGACGAGTAATGATATGACAAAAATGTGCCTTGAGCTTAAGGTAAACGACGACTATTTATTGCAGCGGTGAGACAGAGCCCAGTAAGTATCATCGCAGTTAAAGTTCATTACGTGTGCACTAATCTTTTTGTTTCTTAACTATTTTTCTTTTTTTGGTAACCAAACAAAATTCATTTCATTTTGAAATTTGAACTACGTTTTATATGCATTCTACATTTTATTTAGTTTACTAAAATTTATTCTTTCCTATTTAGGATTGCTTTGGTGCAATAAATTTTATTTTTGTCAATTTTGTCCAAAGAGAGCGACTGAAAATTAAAATTAAACTTTCCATTGATTAGTGGCACAAAACCTGAGATAAATTACCGAACATAACAAGATGACATTCACTAACTTTGGACAATAAATTGTGAATGAGGCGGAGGATAATTCATACATGTATATATATATATATATAAAAAATAAGTGGAAAAAAAAAATTGGANCTCTCTTAACTAAGCTGCAGCCCGGGTGGAATTCTACATACGCATTTATTTACATTCATTTTTTTTATGTTTAAGCCTATATTCCCAAATAAATTAAAAATATAAAATGAATATGCATTATCATCATATCTTGATTCATAAATCATGTTTGAACTAATTACTTTAAATTAATACTTAATACTAGTACTATGTAGCACCAGTATACTATAAGGATGCTTATTCATTAAAAATGTAAAAATAAACTAGAAGTGTTTATTAAACTATCAAATACTCAATTGTTTATTTATTTAAAATGAAATCCATTAAATGTAAGAATCGTTCGTTCGGTAATATTTCCAACTTATATCATGTAATAGGTATGATAGCACCCATATATTATTAGGATGTTCGTTCGGTAATATTTCCAACTTATATCATGTAATAGGTATGATAGCACCCATATATTATTAGGATGTTAACTGAAATGTCATACTTAAAAATGTAAAATTACAAACGCTTTAATTTTTTTATTTAAAATAAAATTCATTACATGTAAGATTTGTTCGTTCTATAGCATAATAATATTTCAAACTTATTTCATGCATTTAATAGTCATGATACATAAATTAAATTAATAATAAATAAATTAATTTAAAAAAGAATAAAGTTGGTTGTTTATTATAATTACTATAATCACAAAAAGTTTAATTTATATGTGATTCTTAAATAGATTTTGTTAATGTTCTAGTCCGGGTAGGATTTAAATCCTAACTCTGCCCGGAGAAAAAATGTTTCAACTATCCTACTTCATGTGTCATAAGAGCCTTCTACTGTATATTAATTAAATGTTACATTTATCCTGGACAATATTAACTAATGAAATGAAAAAAAAAAAATATGTGAACAAAAAAAATGGTAATACACCCGACGAGTCAAAATTATTCAACCACGAGTCAAAATTAGTTAAAATGGAACAATTTTGACTCCAACATGCAACAGTTTTGCTACAATTACGAAACAATAAACATTAATTAAGCCGATGACACATTTATAACTATGAAACATTAAATTACCGAATCACACACCATATTCGTTAATACTAATAGCAACAAGTCCAGCTCATTAGTCACAAAAAGACCAAAATAAAAAAAAATAGAGACTAATTAAGAAAAAGAGATTTATTTAATTAATTAAAATTGGTCATCATGAAAATTCATTTTGCTGATGATGCTTGGGATGACCCATTTCTAGGGTTTCATCAAAGGAAGGCTTCTGGGTTTGATCAACAGTGGTTCCTTTGTTATTGCGGTAAATTGCATATAGAATTAGCTGCATTGTGCCTAATAAACTCCCAAATCCATTAGGAATCTGTAAAAAATATATATATTATTATCATTATTTTGAAATAAAATAGTTAGACAATCACAATTTACTCGGCAAATTATCATAGTATTATGCAAAATAAGTTTGAATCGAAATGTTCAAACTTCTTGTATAACTTGATAGTATACCGGGCCAATAATAGATGTAAAAGTGTTTTTTTATCCGATTTAAAGACATTTTTTCTACTAGTGGTGAAAAAATAAATGAACGTGGTAAAGAAAATTGACAACTTACATAGAGAAATTTGTCTTTCCCAATGAGACCATATATAAACCAAGAAGTACCACACAAGAATACAAAGAGTGACAAGAGAAACGGCATATACTCAACGCTCTTCGTTTTAATCACCATCCTCTGCAAATTAATCCAAACAACTAAGTCACCAATAGACAAATTAATATCAACTAAACAATTAAAATCGAGCACATAATGTCTATAAATATAGAAAATACTTCTCCATTAACTAATTGCAAAAAATGTCCGACACATAAGATTGAATATAATGTTCATACTATGAAAAGTATTTAAAATATGACATTTGAATAGGAAAAATATATAAATTTATTCGAAGAGCATGACTGTTTAACCTTCTATAAACAGCCTAATAAAAGATCTCCTAATCCATTTCTAGAATTACTTACTTTGCTCACCCAACGATTAACACATAAGATTGGGATATATGTTATATACTATTGAAAAGTATTTTAAAATGTGACATTTGAATATGAAAAATATATAAATTTGTTCGAAGAGCATGACTGTCTAACCTGCATTAACCAGTCTGCACATTAAACAATCTAACAGAAAATGATCGATTTCTAAAATTACTTTTGCTCATCCAAAGATTATCATCAAAATATGCACAATTAAAATAATTTGAGAATCTCACCATGATGGATAAAGGAGAAGCATACATTATGATGGAGAAAATTGTGGCTGCATAGCCACAAAGTTGTTGCTTTTGTGACTTGTTGTGAAAGCCCAAAATTGAGAGTAAGGCTATAGTTGAAAATATAGCAAGAATGCAAATTAGAAACCCAAATATCTTGGCTTTCTCCTTTTTGGGTGCAAAAATTAGAAAAATGAGCACATAAGCAGCTTCAATGGCGGCCCCGGTGCCGTTGATCACAGTCACTAAGTAGTTGTTCTTTGATATGAAGGGCAAACCATACCTACATTAATTAGTTGCAGGCATATATATGGAATTAATTTTATTAGGAGATATTTAATAGAATTTTATTTGATGATCAGTATAACATATACACGACAATTATAATATGGTATTCAAAGGTTACAAACTTTTGAAACCTGCCCACTGTGGGTTTGTGAGCATTTTTATTTTTATGTAGGGTATGTTATTTTTGGAGTTTTTTTTTTTCTTTTTTAATATATGTATATTTAGTTTTTTTCTATTTTATTTTAAAAGAAATAGAGTAAA